ACGATCTTGTCTGGGCTGCGAAAACTTTGCTGATATGTGACTCGTGACTTTTTTTATTGCCCCCCCCCTCCCTGTAGTAGCAGTCGAGATTGTGACACATCTCAGCATTAGCGTGTAACTAACGTCGAAATAAATGCAGCCGCTTGTGTTTTCACTTTTCTGCCCTCCATAGGCCCGCTTAGTCTGGAACAGAAACAAATTCAACGTGCACAGTGACATTCTTATCGTTCGTGTTGGGCGACTTCAAAGACGGAAGATGACCCGATTGCGGTAGGTGGATTTAAAGACACCGTTCGAGGTTATCGGGTGGGCGGAGCTGAGGAATCCATGCGCCACTGGTGCGCCCCTCTTGCTCGTCTGTGGTGGTGAAGAAAGAGAGAAGAAGCAGGGCGTGCCTGCGAAATCGCCATTTTCGTCCCCGCCCATCCAACAAAAGTGAGGAGGATGCCATTTGGACGCGATAAGTTTTGGCTGCGGGCTCATTTGTGAAGCGCTTAGATCACCAAATCCGCTGAAAACTTGTGTACAGGAGTTATTCAAGTTCCTGATTACGAATACGGCATTCATTCTTCATTGGCGCTAGCGCCAAAAATGAATGTCGCATTCATAAACAGAATGTGAAACCACCTCTGTATACTGGTTTTTAGCCGAGTTGGGAGTGGTAAGACAGCGCTGAAGGGTAGAGGCCGCTAAGGCTGCGAGCTCAGAGGCGAGAGCTCCGCTAGTGAGTGGCAGAATGTGTGCAAATTCTCTTGACTATGAGTAAAATCTGAAATTTTTGTACAATCGTTTTTCTTTACGTGTTCGTGTTTTCGGTTACAGTTTCGTGGAGGCAGAGATAAATGTACTCAAAGAGGAGAGCTACCTTCGCTGTGCTTTGATATTCACGGCCAAATGCTTAGAATGTGATGATGAATTCATTGTCGAACGTGATTCGAAGAATTGGTGTCGGAAGTGCTGCATCGGTATGTTATCTACATGTTTTCCTTACGTCTTCCTTGATTATGGGCCTTTCACTCGACTGGGTACTGCTTGAGGTGCAGTTGCCTTGCCACTCGCGCTGACCGCTCAAATTTTTAATAGAATCTCGCCTAGGTCAAGCAAGGGTCCAGTTCTGCTTAGTGGGGGCATTTTGCTGGTTTCTATTGATCACTGCCGATGCTCCTGGGGAGACCTAATTCCTGCAAAGCTATGCGGTAGCAGTTCACATATGACAAGAGTCTCCAGGTCTCACCAAGGAAAGACGTGTTTAGGAACAAGAAAAAGAGACGAATGTCTAAAATGCCACCCTACCCCCCGTGTCCTCTCTCTTCCCCACCATCACCCTCGCTACAATCGAGGGCAGAGTTGGAATGTGTGGAACATCCCAAAGGGCGAAAGTATTTCCAATTTTTTCTAATGGTCAATTAGCTGTACTCGACTGTTTTGAATTTTTTCAGAACACGGTAACTTACGGAATATTCGGTACTCTTACCGGATTTTGATGCCAGCAGTATACACACGTAGAAATGGACAGAAAGCGCAGTTGATCTTAGCAATCGCCAGCCATATATGGGTGAGTATTTTAGGAAAGTTTCACGAAAGGGCGACTGAGGGGGCTACCAAGCGGCGTGACCATGCCGCTAGTATCCACCAGACTGCATCCTCTCGTTGAGAAAGAAAATTACGTGTGTACCCTTTCTGAGGTAGCGACGAAACACGACATGGTCGCGCCGCCGAGTGGCCTGACCCCACTCCCCGAACTACCTTTGCCCGAGTATTTTGATTTATAGTTTAGGCAACGTGTTCAACTATAACCACCCTGGAACTCAACTATAATCTCTTTTGTTACTCATAGTACCCATCGGGGTTTTTCATTGCCCAAGTCACTAATAGAGCGCATATTTTGGACACTGCCGCCAGTGTGGCGCTAGCAATTTGACCACCAAAATCTACATAAACTGCAAATCAAGGGCTACTTGACACCGTTATTATGAACACAGCACTTATTTCTTAGCGGCCTAAAATCGCCGACGCCAACTTGGTGGGTGACTTTTCCCACCAAATTCGTCATAAAATTGCATTTAGGGATAACTGGGGATCATATTCACGAACATGACATCCGTTTCTCAGCGCCAGTGCCATTTACCTGTGCTAAAGCTGACTTGAGGGAATGAGTGTTTCTCTTAGCTCGCGCGCAACGCTAAGCCAGAACGTGCGAGCGACCCGACTCCCTCACTGTTTCTATGCATAGCATTTCTATATTTTCAGACATAGTAAAGGGCAAAGTCTCGAAAGCAGTTGGCCGCGGATAAGAAGCTAATACGCCTGCCGCACAAGAATCAACGGCGCGCCTCTGAGCAGGCGCCTGAGCGTGACGTCTTTTTAAATAAGTTACCCTTATTAGAGCCCTATCAAGCCCATGCCAACATGTCAGCCGGGACGTCCGCCGCCGCCCGCTCTGCCCGCCAGAAATGTACGACTGCCTGATGACGTGCGTATCGCTTCATCTCGCCGACCGGTACAATATGAAGCGAAGCGCGGATTGATAATGCAAGCAACTGCGCCTGCCGCAATGGTTATATGAAGCATCTACGCCTAGCGGTTCGATTGGCCCGACAAAGCTAAACGGGAAGCTCGTCCAAAACCTGCTTTCTGAGTCGTTTTCAGCCACGAAGCCTTTTTTGCAGGTTTTGACAGCTTCACTTCGCTTTTTCGCGGTTTTCCCCGCACCCCTGCTACCAAATTATCGGTCTTATGCCTTCAAAGGCAGTTATCACGATGATTTGGTGCTCGGCCTAAAATGCTAGTAGGGCACTATATAGTGGGGAAATGACGAACAAGGATGGCACTGTGAAACGCCGTCACAGGTCCTCGCGCCAACAGAAAGAGCCTCGTTCCCTTACTGACGGTTAAAAATCGATTTTGACGCAGTTTTGCGTTAGCCATGGTTTTGCCCAGTGGACAGCGCGCTGCATTTATCCTGTACTCAGATACATATATCCATTGCAACATTTACGTGTCCTTTTATAATTTACTTAGCATAAATGGAGCAGTATTAGCGCTGAATGCTCGTCCCATTTGGCGGGCGGCGTGTGGGCGCGCGGCGTTCGGCGGGGGGTCGTGCATGTATGTAGCTTCCATACGGCCCTTGATAAGGCAGGCACATTCCTGTGGGAACAGGCGCTTATGCAGCCGCCTGATCAGGGTTCGCGCGGATGTACCCCGTCCTGCCAGACGGTATTAATCCTAACGCATCAAAAGAAACTTCACTATTATTCTTTCAGACCGCAGTGCCGGGTAGTACGGCATCAATGTCAGAGGAAAGTATGATGGAACTGTATTCGGAGCACAACATATCGGCTTACGTGAAGAAGCTCAACAAGGTTTTACGATTTTCTGAAGTGAGTCTTTTTATAACTGTATTATTAAAGATTATTCCCTCCCCAATGATAGCCTTTATTTTGTGTGTCAGTGCAGTTGGTTAATCGCTCACTTGGCTGCCGCTTTTCCCCTGAACTTTACAATTTTTCCTGCTCGTTTTTGCTCACCCAGCGAAATGGTGATCTCCTCACGTACATTTATGCCGAAAGGCAGGGTACAGCACCGTTTAATCCCATCAGGGAGCTTTCTTTAGCTGGTGGAGAGAGTATCGTGTCCGGCTTCAGGATAAATTTCCCCACTTGCTGATTTTTACCTTACACCCACTCTACATGCCCCTCTAGCAAGTGGCGTCGCAAAGTTGTATAACTGCTATTGCTGGTGAGTGTTTGGGAAGGACCTTCCCCCAACATTCTCTGGTGTCGGCTTTCTGGGAAAACCGATAGGATTTGATAGGGAATTGGAGGAATTCCACAATGTGTGAGGTAGGATGGGAAAGATGTCGTATCAGAGAAAGAAATTTTATGGAGGGGGTCGCGCTAGAAGAGTGTATGCCGACTTTCCTTGGTAACACCGCTGTTCCACCCATCCAGATGTTACATCTTGCTTGGGAAGCGCAGGAAAGTCTGAGCACCAAGGCAGTGTTCAGACTTTGCAATGACGCGTCTCGACGCGCTATAGTGCGCACCGAGCGCTACAATCACAATAACGCTCCAAAGCTGTAGGCGCGAACGCACCCGCAGACGGCTGGTGCCCATCAATCCCCGTTTGCGAACGCTCGATCGATAGGCGCCGCCCGCTTCTATTGCGCGGGAGTCTGGGAAGTGCTGCCTAGTGGCGCAGACTGGTATCGATCGGCGCTGGCGTCTGCGAATGCATTGGGTTTTGAAGCGGTGTTGTAATGCGCACGACAGCGCGTCGACGCGCATTACAGCGCGTCGACGCACGTTATTGCTAAATATGAATGCTGCCCAATGTTGTGACCTAAACTTGCTGCGTGGCCTTTTCTTAACCCCTCAGCTCAGGAATGGATAGCTGTCTTCTTGAATAATTTGCTTTCAGGCTGTCATGACAAAGAGGAAGGTCTCGCATATACATGGAAAGATCGTACAGCTTGATCGAGAGACTGGATCTATTGGTCTTTTCGTTGATCACTGCATGCTTACCGATAGGGGCAGGAACAACGGGATCGTGTATTGAACACTATAGCCTTTTTGTAACTTTATCTTTACGTGGTATTCGATAGGGGATCTGCCCTCGGCATATCCTAAACTATAGTTTGTTCGGTGTCGATCGCTGAACGTTTCATAGGGGGGTGGGCCTGGTTGGCGCAACACCCAGCTGATCTCCAATAATTTGTTCGCCTGCCAAAGGGTGGAGGATGGACCGCAGCTGCATTAGAGTGTCATTTCCTCCGGTGAAAAGTGCGCGGGAACGAGGCTGGAGGGTACTCAGGGTACAGCATTGTTGTGCGGAACCCATCAGGTGGGGGTCGTACTTGGGCGCTGGGGGGTGGGTTCCTAGTCGTGAGCAGGTCGGTGAGCATCGAAGAGCACAAATGTGTCATCGCTAAGTTTGATGGAGTGGCCGGAAAGCTAGAGGGATAGTTAGCATGAACTCGTAAGTACGTAGATGACTAAATAATACGTCTCAAACAGATTCGTGCGTATTGTCCTTTCCAAACCCTAAACAAACATCTGCTTGCATGGTTGCACCTTTCCACCACCTCTGCGTAGAAGCGTAATGCACGGCGCACACTCGGACCAAATCGATCGATGATAACCAAATTATGCTTTGACTCAGTTCAACGGGAATGTGTTTTGAAGGCATATTGAAGTTCGCGAATGAGTATCCTTACAATGGCACAGAAGGAGTCGAGCTTTTGAGTGGCTCAGAATGTCGCCCAAGGGTGACCCATCTGAAATATCTTCTGAACTAGCGGTCTCAA